TCATGGTTATGAATAAACCGTTAGCCTGGGTATGATTTCTTGCTGTTTCTTTCTTTAACTATCTTTGAAGTAAAATAAAAACAGTTGTAATGGCAGGCTTACTTTTATGATATCATAATCTCCATGTGTTAGTGAAAGGAATACATTCCCTAGTATTTCCCTAAGATTTTTTTATTTTCTTTCTCTTTCTTTCTTTCTTTTCTTTCTTTCTTTCTTTCTTTTTTTTTTTTTTTTTGCCATTGGGTACTTTCCAACAGAAGTAAATACATTTTCAACAGATTATTCTTTCTTCGATCTTCACTCCATTTCTTAGTCTGAGAGCCAGGCACAGACAGCCCTATAGTCTTAATCAACAGAAGAGGGGGGTAATAGTATATACAACATTTTCAGTAGTTGAATTTCTAAACATATATATATATGTTTAGAAATTTAACTATATATATGCATCTATTTTCTTTAAGATAATTGTGGATTTCTTAAAAGACATTTTAAAGATCAGTAGTTAGAAAACAGAACAGAACCTAATTATTATACTTAGCCTCAGATTAAGCAAATTCGAAGTGCTTAATTCTGAATATAAAAATTCCTCAATTCCTCAAATAGTTTGTGTGTATGTGCTTTTTAACGCCAACGTGGGTTTCGTTTAAATACTTTCTCCACGTTATCTCTTCCCCTAGCGCTGGCGATGCACAGGAATGTGAGAGGTTGTTTTAACTGTTACAGTTGTAGTGGAGCCTGTTCTTCGAAGAAAACGGAAGGTTAATGATTTTTGTCATATTGAGACTGAGACTGAACAATTGCTACAGTCGGCCTTTGTGGAGGGGGGGCTCCTTTTTCTCCGGGCCTTTTGAGGTATTCAGGAGCGGTGACAATAGCTTGCAGTTGAGAACATATGTAGAGAGACCCCTGTGGCTTATTGGGAAAAGTTGCTCCATGCTGGTTGGGTGTTTGGAAGAAAAAAAATACAACCAGAGTTCTTTTATGTTCTGCTAGTTAATGAATGCATGAATGTCAAAATGGGCCAATGGCCCATTCAGGGGGCAAAGCCTTCACAGCCCCCTTCTTTAAGAACACATCCTGAGATGCAAAATACATTTGCTTAACAAATTAAAATAATGAGATAATTCAATTAGCCTCTCTTTAAAAAAAAAAAAAGAAAGAAAGAAAGAAAGAAAGAAAGAAAGAAAGAAAGAAAGAAAGAAAAGAAAAGAAAAAAAAAGAAAGAAAGAAAGAGAAAAAGGGTACATCGAGGATTATTGTAATACAAGACCAGGTCATACTGCACAAAAGGGAACAAACCAGTTTGAAATAATGCTGAAGAGACTCATTATGGAGGAACCCACCCTGAATCATGTGCTTGTGAAGAAATTTACATGAAATAATAATTTAGACTACATCTATTTTCGGGGAAGCTGGAGCCAACATTTCACTTTGAAAGTTGAAATTAATTAAAATACAGAGAAATATAGCGGGGCATCTCTCTTTCCGAGGACTGCCCCCATGCCTGTTAGTGCCCAACTAAGAAAAGAAATCTAAATTAACATGTGACTGGTTCGAGGTCTCTATCCTAGGTTTCTGAGCTCAGAATTATAGCCGAATAAATCTTCCAGCTCATTAAAGATTGGAAAGTAAAAGTTTTACAGGACCATCCTCATCATAGTTACTGAGCCTCTTCTCTGCAGTTGAGGGGGTGGGGTGGGGGTGGGGGGAGCCTGGATGAAGAGAGAGAGAATTTCAAAGGGAAAGCCAAGGATAATTTTAGGATCCAAGGGAGATGCAGAAAAGGCAGAGAGGAGGGAACAGAGAGGATGACTGGAGACAAAGCTGGTGGGAGGCAGGAATGACAGGGCCACGCTGTGAAAGAAGCTTTGGGCAGGAGGAAAGCGAAGCTGTTGGTGGAGAAAAACAGGAAGAAAGGATGACCAGAGGCTGGTACAGAGCAGAACCAGTACCTGTGAATGTGGAAAAGGAGCCTACCACCTGAGCCTCTTGCTCGAAAAATAGGGAAATGGCAAATCCAGAGAACGTAAGGAACCTCACTGAGGCTCGGCTGGCCCGGAGGCCATCTGAACTTGCAATGCCAGTTTGACCACACAATCCCGTGTATACATTTCCATCTCGGCCCTTTCCGAAGTATTTTATTTTAAAATATATTTTATTGATTTTTTTTATAGAGAGGAGGAGAGAGGGATAGAGAGCTAGAAACGTCGATGGGAGAGAAACATCAACCAGCTGCCTCCTGCACGCCCCCCTACCGGGGATGTGCCCGCAACCAATGTACATGCCCTTGACCGGAATCGAACCTGGGACCTTTCAGTCCGCAGACCGATGCTCTACCACTGAGCCTAACCAGCTTCGGAAAAATACTTTCCGAAGTATTTTTTATCAGTACGATAACGTGCTTCTCCCCCACACGGGAATGTCATTTCTGACAAATGATGACACAGTGTTACAGAATCAATATAATGTTTTCTAAAAGGAAATGCCAGTGTTCTGGACTCCTGGCTCTGGCTCCGTGGCCTCCTCTCCCTACTCCGAGGACAGACACTCTTAAAGCGTACCGTTGGAGAGAGGATTCTGCACCAAGCCTTGTACATAGTTAACTAGGCGGAAGCACTCATGGGGTGGAGAAAGGTCTTGGTAGCACCTTGCACAACAGAGAGAGGCACAGAGAGGACACAGGAACCTCTGGCCACCCACTGCTCTTCACCGGTGGCCACCGCGCAGGGCGTGTTCTTGCCGGAGAGGGACAGGGCGAGGCATGAGAGCCAGCAAGGGCTCAGGCCACTTTCATGGGAAATTCAATCACAGAATCCTATGAGTAAAGGGGAAAGCTGTCTGGAGGATGGAGGTGCAAAGAGAGTCTTCCCTGTTTGGAAAGGCTGGGGAGCAGGAAGCTTTACAAAGGGGAGAACAGTGCTTTGCTCCTCCACAGCCCCCCTCCCTGAGTGTGCTGATGGCAGAGGTGGCGAGATTTATATGCAACTGTTAAAGGTGATAATGATTTGAGCAGTCATCATAAAGTGGTGGGAAAAGCCTAGATTGGGGGGGAAAGGAAAGCTTGGGTCCCCGTCATCCCTTGCTTGGCCTTGGAGCTAATCACTTCCCTTTCTGGGTCTGCTTCCTCATCTGTAAACAGAGCAGCCGAATCCTCTAAGAGTCCACTGTGCTGGGGCGTCAGTTTTGATAAGGGAGGGAGGTGTTTGCTGGGAAAGCAGTGGTGGAAGCCTTTGTTGTCCGCCACGGAAGGAAGGCTGCGAGTGACGGAAGGCGGAGGGAGGAGGCCGACCAGGTGAGCTCTGGGAGAGAGCCGCCTGCCAGCCTTCCAGGGGCCTTTCTTCGCCATCGCCACTCTAACCAAACAAGCCTCCAGTTCAAGACGAGAAACCCCTCCCCTCCCACTCCCCCGACTTCCAGATTAAAAACATTTTACAGGTTAGTAAATCTCCAGCTGAGGTGATGTAGCAAAGAACAGCTGTGAAGTAATTTTGATAATGATGAGAATAATAACCACATGGCAAGGTTCGGGGCTCCGAGTTGCAGCTTCAGTGCTCCTGAATAGATAAAAGTGATTAAATACTCCTGATTATCCCTGACCAATATGTAATGGATTTACAGCCCTTTCAATTAGTCAGTATTTGCTTAGGACTCATTATTTTGTCTTTGGTTAAGTAATCAGCCCGGAGACCGCATGTTCCGTCTAATTCCTCTGAGCCGAGTCAGTGCAGGGCCCTGACCTTTGAAATGGCCGGAGCTGCGAGGCAAGAATAACCACCGCCACGGCCGGGCCTCGGCAGGTCCCCCACCCCGCTAATCCTGGCACCACAGGCCGGATCGATGCACCTTCGTTTGCTACTAATGTCCTTACATCAAAATGGCCGATTTGAAACGTGAATCTATCCCTCAGCCCTCCCCGCGGCCTGCCCCTCCGCCCCTTGCCCTCGGCAGCCCTGCTGGCTGAGCGGACGGCAGCCGCCGCCATAAATAAAAGTGGAACCTTGTCCTGGGCCCATGACACTGTAACTAATGTCATTCAGCATGGCGACACGCAAGTTGGGTAATCAAAGACATTCAGCTTCCAACGTGCTACTCTCCTTTTAAGCATCCGCCCCAACAGAATGGCCTGAAAACAATATGATAGCAAGACACGGCCTCTGAAATCATCCCCGTTTCCCCAGGATTGCTAAGTGCACAGGAAGACGGGAGAGTGCCTGGTGCCTTTGTAAACACCACATTGTCATTTTTTTATTTTATTTTTTTTGGTCACGAGAGACTAAAGAGTCAACAGTGTATACAGACACATAAAACGGGCTGCACACAGGAGGACAAAGTGTTACTTTAAAAACGTGGCACGTGGTTGATCTTTCCCCAGAAGTAAAGAGGGTTAGATCCTAAGATAACGGATTTGAACAGCTAAAAACAAAACAAACAAACAAACAAACAAAAAAAAACACCCACACTTTTAATCCCCATCTTACAAACAAGGGCATTATAGCACCTATCACCTTCTGTGAGTGTCACACAGACACACGACATGTCTGCGAGCTGCCTCAGAGACCACAGTCACGCTTGATACCGCGAGCTTGGACATGCACACACGTGGCCAGGTGCCGCCCCGCCTCCTGGAGGAGATGGCCTTCGGTAAGAGTGTGGTGGGCAGTGCGGACGGACTGACGGGGCAGCTCCTCACAGCCTTGTTCCCGGGTTGCATTACCTAGAGTTGCCATCAGACCTCTCAGCATGCATAACGCATGTTCAGGGTCCCACGTTCTTGTGAACGAGGTCCATACCAGGCCTGGTCTAACAAAAACCTGCTCCTTTCTGAAGGGTGCTCAAGGAGTGGTGGGGCGAGAGCTGATAAAACCATAACAGCTCTGCTGGTCATTGGGTTTTGAGAACGGAGAAAAAGGCACCTAACTCTGAGACATCTGCACGAGCCCGTATAGCGTGCTGGGAGAAGGCAAGGCAACAACACTCGCTCCCCTTTCCTCTGGACTTACCGTGAGATGCTGGAAGAGCCACGCCCTCATGATGTTGGTTGCGACTTTGGGGAAGATGCCTCTCTTCTTCTGGCGCTTCTTATCCTTGTCTGGGTCGTCATCGTCACCTGTGCCCGGTGAGGCCACGCTGTTGTCCAGACCGTCCCCTGGTGGAAAGACGTGAACACACGTGAGAGAGAACCCCGAAAGGGGGCCACAGCCACGCGCAGCTAATGAGGAGCTCCCTCCCTCCGCGCGGCTTGTTGAGGGATATCCATTAGCGCCCATCGTCTCTTTCATTAAAGTATAATTGGAGACACAAATATGTAAAAGACAAAATTAAGCCGGGCCTCTTCAAATGTTAATTTTGTGTGTCTCACACTCGCCCGTATCATTAATTCGATTATAATTGTGTGCTTGACACAGTGCAGTAGCTCTTTGTCAATTACGGAGCCCGATGTGGGAAAACCGCCATCAGAAAACCTATTCGGAGGAAATGCATCCCCGTGCCCATCTCGAACACAGACTGCAGGGTAATCAAGTTAAATGTTCTGTAGTCTATATATTCTAGGCTGCCTGCATAGGTGACAGTAACTGTGTCACTGTTCATTGCACATAACACACTGCCTGCTCAGCCCCTCCCAGAACTGTCACCTCCGGAGCACACACAGCTGCACGCTCCTCGGTGACCCCGCACTCGGCATTTGCATGAAACTTGTAGCTCTCTGCACCGAGGGTCATTATCATTAAAGAAAAAAAAAAAGAAAGAAAGAAAGAAAGAAAGAAAGAAAAAAAGGGATACACATCAAGGTAGGGTGCTCACTTAATCAGAAGTTCCTATCAACATCTTTCTCTTCTGTGCTTTTCTCGGGCATCAATTGTGCATTAGCAAAAATCATTTACTTTTTAACAGTCATAGTTATTTTTCTTGCCCTCCGGCGAAAATGCCTTGAAAGCCTGCCTGGAGGGCATCTAAATTATGTATCTGAAAAACTCTTCCGGCAAGGCATTGCAGGACCCCTACTTTCTTAAAATTCAGACGCGCACGTCTTCCTGTTTTTGGGAAGGCATCAATCAAGAGCAGCAGTATATGCCATATCCCTACATTAATATTTGAACTAATAACTTTAAAAAAAAGGAGAGAAACAAGATCCGACTTGTGGCATAATCAAATGCAAAATAAATGAAGAATACGGGGACAGCACTGGGGCTTTATAGATGGCTGTGTTTTCCTTGCACATCATTAGCCTGGAGCCACACGAAAGAGGAAAACAGAGAAGTGGAGAGTTTATGCTCCCCGCTGGTGTTTAAGAAGCCAGGGTCCTGGAAGGACATCTGGGAATTGTGCTGAGATGGGGATTTTTGTAATTTAAGAATAGACATTCATTAGCAGTAAATGCCATAAATCCCATGCTAAGTAAAAACCTTGTCCAAGAAAGCCTAAAACAATAAACTCTGTGCTCCGTGTAGCCTGAGCTGGCCGCTCCACGGCATCCCAGGGAAAGCCATAGACCCCGCCGGTCCCTTCCCTGGCCTGCTCCCCTCCTGGCGGACGGGGACACCCTGCCACATCCTACCTGCCAGGCCCCTCGCCTGCCAACGTCACGGTCAGCTCGGTGGGCTTCCCTGTACCTGTTCCTTTCCTTTCTCCCCCAAAACACCCTCAACCTTCTTTGACCAGAGAAGCAGAAAAGCCACAGCAAAGAGCCGGCAGATTAATTTTATTGACATTTCCATTTTCACTGCAACGCGATACCCTCCATCACATGGAAGAGATGACCCTCACTATTTACAGACTGACAGGCCACTTCATTACAGCCACCCTGCCCCAAGGCAAAGCAGCTCCCCTCCATCTGCCCAAACACTAGAGCATGACCCCGAAGTTGCTGTTCTCTTTTTCTTTGCCGTCTGTTATGATTAAAAAAAAAAAAAAAAAAGAGCAAGTCAAAGGGACCCCAAATAGTCAAAGAACTAATCGGAGTGCAGGGAAACAAAAGGCATCTGACTTTTGAATAGTGGGTAGACGGGGGCTACCCTTCCTCTGCCTGGGTTCCCTGCGCACACACCCATGCACACTTATGGGGCACTTGCACAAGGGCATGCACACATACACACACACCCACACACAGACACACGCACACATGCACACACACATACGAGCAGGGACAAATACACACACGCACACGCACATGCACACATGTGAACAGGGACACATACACACGCGCGCGCGCGCACGCGCGCGCACACACACACACACACACACACACACACACGCTTCCACCATGCCAAGGAACTGCTGCAAGGCAAATTCTCACCCCCACTAATGGCTTCTGACTGCTCCCTGGCAACCCCGGCATTTTAACCTGGGTGGATGTGCTCTCCCCAGTACAGACACGGGCGCGATCTCATCAGCTGCTCATGTGACACAGATGGAGAGTGGCTATTAGGAGCCAGGCAGTGGGCCTTGGGGATCTGAGGTGCTGTTCTGTAGCCCGGGGCGGTTTTGAAAAGCAGTACCCGGAGATGAGGAAGGAAAAAAAAAAAAAAGGCCCACACTGCCAGTGCAAGTTTGAAGTCGGTCAGTCTGTCTGCCCGCTCCCGATGAAGATATCTTTGTCTCCGTGGGAATCCGGGAGGCTATCGGGATGTGCGTGTCAGATAATGTATGTGTGGAACGGCTCTCCCCTCCGCGTCTTCCAAATATAAAAACACACGCTGTAAACAATGCCTGTGTGTATGCCTTTCTTTCGGAGCACATATGGTTTCTGTGTATATGTTTAAGCTGAAATTGTCAGGATTTTGTTAAAATCTCGTTTAGCTTCTTTCTGATAGGTTTCTGAATATACTTATTTTCAAAGGTTAATGGCTTAATTGATGGAAGTTCAACCAAAAAAAAAGGGCATTTGCCTTTTTAGCCAACCAATGACCTTCGGAATGAGAGACGGCGTCTCCACAGTGCATTTTCTCTCGCTTAAAAGCTAACAGGGCTGGTAACACCTTCAAACTATATGATTCGCTATATTTAGCTCAAGGAAAAGATAGAGCGAGATTGAGCCTCTTTGGATGATTGACTTAAACTGGAGAAGACAGCATCGTTACATGAATTTTAATATAAAGCAGTCTGTTTCGTAGAAATGTTATAAAATATTTGAACTGGGACCCAGGGTAACAAATGATAGTAAAGAAAAGGGTGACTATTTTTATAATAACTAGATTACTAAACATTAGATTTTCAAATTAACATTAGTGTTTATGTGTCCACAAAGAGAGAAATTTTCCTCTTCAAATACACAATAAATACCATCATCTTCCCTTCAATGTATTTCTGAACCAATGCCAGCATAGTGAACCAACAGCAGCCTGCAGAAAAATGGCAACAAGGCAACTGTGTGTGATCTGCAACCTAAAACGAAATTGTGCAGATGATGCTGGGGCTGGGGTCTCCGAACGTGGCTATTGTTTCCAGGCTGTGCCTGTGTGTCAGATTGCTGGCAGTTTTTGGCACCTGTGCCAAGTGACTTTCTGCGCTCAGAAGGGTGTGGATACCAGCACAGAGGTATGTGCCAAAGGAGGTACAGGAGCTAACAGTGTATGTGTCAGTTAGGGTTCAAAAGTATTTATCTTTTTTTTTTTCTTAATATATTTTTATTGATTTCAGAGTGGAAGGGAGAGGGAGAGAGACAGATAGAAACATCAATGATGAGAATCATTGATCTGCTGCCTCCTGCATACCCCCAACTGGGGATTGAGCCTATAACCTCGGGCATGTGACCTCCTGGTTCATAGATTGACGCTCAACCATTGAGCAATACTGGCCGGGCTATTTCTTATCTCTTTATCCCGAGAGCACACGGCCACATCTGACCCAGAGCAGGTCCCCAGCAACTGCTGGGTGAGTGAATGACAGAATTTACCAATAAGCTTATTCTGAGGTCCACCCCTCTTTGTGATTATCCCACCCTGGGGCAAGTACACTCGTTATGGCATCAAGGGGCTAGGAGGGCTGCCCTTGTACACCTCGTCCCAAACATGCCAGGACCAGTGCTTCTTAAAAACTCAGTGCCCATGAGGACCCTCTGAGGGGCTGGATCACAGGCCTTTCCCCCGCGCTGCCACCTCCGGTGATGAAAAGTGGAATAAAGAGGAGCCTGGTGCATACCTCTTTCCAAAGGCTGCCAATCCCTTGACTAAGGACACAGTCTAAGTTTTAAGCAAAGATAGTCTAAATAGCTGCATTGCTGGAATATGCTGTGTGTGACCATGACTTGGAAAAAATACTTCAGACTCGTGGACAGATAACTTTGAAGTGAGGGGGGAAAAATCATCCGGGGAGATTGTTAAAAACACAGGTCCCCAAGCCTCATCCCAGACTTACAGACTCAAAATATCCTCAGGCACAGACAAGGCATTTGTATTTTTAACAAGCTCCTTGACTCTGCTTATGCAATCAGCCTAGAAGTGATGCTGAAACTGGTTTTTGAAAGCCATGACACTAGATGACCTCCTAATTTGAAATAAATTGAGACCTCAGGAACAGGTGGATTGTTAAAATTCTATTTTACTCCCATGAGTCTGGTCAGTGGTCATGGTGAGCACCTACAGTCAGGCCGGGGCCTCATTCATTGTAGGAGAGCCATCACACACACTCGCCAACATAATGAAGCCTTATATCCTAACCTTCTGGTGGTGAGGGCTAAACAGGAAGAAAGAAGCTATAGAACGTTGTCTCTCAAAACGTAAATCAGCCGAAACCGGTTTGGCTCAATGGATAGAGTGTCGGCTTGGGGACTGAAGGGACCCGGGTTCGATTCCGGTCAAGGGCATGTACCTTGGTTGCGGGCATATCCCCAGTAGAGGTTGTGCAAGAGGCAGCTGATCGATGACTCTCTCTCATGGATGTTTCTAGTTCTCTATCTCTCTCCCTTCCTCTCTGTACAAAATCAATAAAAACAAAACAAAACAAAAAAACGTAAATCAGCCCAGCTGGGGTAGCTCAGTAGTTGAGCATCAATCCATGAACCAAGAGGTCACTGGTTCAATTCCCGGTCAAGGCATATGCCTGGGTTGTGGGCTCAATCCCAGTGGGAGGTGTGCAAGAGGCAGCTGTTGGATGTTTCTCTCATCAATGTTTCTATCTCTCTTGCCCTCCTCTTCCTTCCTTGCCCTC